TCACGATAATAAATCACAGTGCATTAAGTACCCACCATAGTCTTAAGACTTGTGTTGAACGTGCCCAAGCCCATACTTTTGAGAGCACCATGTGAGCACCTGTGTGTGTACACGCACTTGTTTATTTAAGGTTTTTCTATAGGAGCGTCCAACAGAGAGTGTGAGGGACCACAGATCCGCCCCCCAAAGATGCGCAGGAGACAGGGGGAGCTCCAAGTCCCAGAGATCCAGGCGCTGCCCCAGAACGCAGGAACCCCAAGGAGACTGCAACCAGGAAGGCCCCCGCCCCCCTCGAGAGGCACAGAGGATCGCCCCGGGGGGCCACAACCAGCAGCCGGCAGAGTCCCTGGAGATATCAGCGGCAAGCCCACAGGCCCGCCCGCAGCCTCCCACCCCCTAGCCGGCCGAGCCCGGGACCCAGCGACCCGGGACCCAGGGGCGACCACCCCCGCCGGGGACCCAGCAGAGCCCAGGGACCCAGACCCCACCAGGCAGCCACCGGGATCTATCAGGCAGATGCCAAAATCTTAAACCCCCAGACCCGGTTGCCACGAACACCCAGGCAGACCAAGGCACAAGCCCCCACACCAGGTGTGGCAGGGGGAGGGGGGACGAAGATCTATATCATCAAGAGAAGTTCCAGGAGAGGGGAGGACCCAAAGGCCCCACCTGACATATACAGGCATACACAAACACAGTCACACGCTCCCTCCCTCATGCTCACACATGCACATACAACCCAAGGCTTACAAAAATGCACGCCGGACACCCACTCATGCTCCCCATACACACCCTATTCACTCTGGTCCCGGTACTGCTGCACATTGGGTACAACCATCACCGGTAACCAGAGTTTGACCCTTTCTGCTGGGGTGCTGATGAGCAGGCTCCCCCGCCCAACGCTGAGCACAGCAACCCACCACCCCAGACCCCAACCAGGCGGCCAGATCTCCCTCCTAGCCTCCAGCCCCAGGAAGCCTAGCAACATCAGAGGTGGCTAAGACCCCTAGTCTCCCTCAGCCTGCTCCAGTATAGTGTTGTGTGATCATGATGTGTATTCCATGGCTGTGGTGAGTGGGCAGTGCGGGCATCATCCGGCATATGCCAGCTGATGCCACCGCACCACCCCACTTACACCCTCAGCCATCAGTGTCTAAGTGCGGTTTAAAATTGGAAGTGGGCACCGGCACTCAGGAGGAGGCTGAAATATCCCCCTGCCAAATGCCGTTGAATGTGCTCACTCCCAAGGCCCTAAGTGTGTGTTTGTGTGGAATGTCGTCAGTGGAAGTGTATAAGGTGCAAATAAAATTGGGGGGCAGGTTGCTACAGGAATGCGGAAATGGGGTCCATACCCGCACTCCCTGACTTGCCCACCCCCCAAGGTCCTATGTGTATGTTTGTGTGATGATGTGAGGGAGCAGGAGGAGAGAAATATGCGGGGATGGGGAGGAATGGCTGGTTGGGCGTAGCCCTCCAGGGAGCCAGCTCCCCTACTGGCTCCAATAGGCACCTCTGTTGCCAAACTGCCACCCAGGGCATGGAGACCCCAGCCCATCCTGCCAGGGCCCAAAGCAGCAGCATTACAGAGCCTCACGGAGTCCGAGGGCACCAACCCAGCCCCATCCCAGCAGAATATCTATGCCCACCCCTGCATTTGCACAACTTCCAGAATATATAAGACATGGGACATCCAGGTAAGGTTGGGTCCTCCCCCTCCTGGACCTCCCCCTCCCCTGTAATGAAACGGCAGAGGAGCCAAGGTCTACCTGAGGCCCCCGAACCCGGGCCAGGCACTGCTGTGTGTCTCTGCCTTCCTCCCGGCAGCATACATGTCAGGACCCGACCCCCAAGGCTCCGCCCAGATCCCCACACGGGGCCGGCCACCCCCAAACCCCGAGCCCCCAGGCCCCCACCCAGACCCGCCCAGGGGCATTGCAGCCGCCAGGCAGTGACCCATGGCCGCCGCCAAGATTCCCAAGGGACCCCACTCACAACTGCCAGCAGTCCACCCCCCGAGGCAACCCAAGCACCTCCAGAGGGGGGCAACGGCCCCCCAGTCCCAGACATCCCCAGTGAACCCACCTCCAGGGAACATCCGGATACTCCAAACTCAGACCCCACACCCCCCCACCCACACCATCCCGTAGGACAACATCAACGGCCCCCCACCCTCGCTATGTGATGGAACCGATCAAAGGAGCCCAGAGAGATTCATCTGAAGTGGAAGCAGAGGCTATATCAAGTGCAATATGATCTAACAAAAGATTTCTATACTGGTTAATGCAGAGACGTTCTCTATTTTTCCAATTCAAGAGGATAGTTTTCTTAGCGATGCATATGGCAGTCAGAACCACGTGAACCAAAGATTTTTCAATCGGGACATCGTCCAGGTTTCCCAGTAAACAAAGAGAGGGGGAAGTTGGGATATGACATTTCAGACAATTTGACAGATCCTCACATACTCTACCCCAAAATTCCTGGACAGGTGGGCAGGACCACAGTGCATGAATGTAATTGTCAGGAATGTTGTTTGTGTAGTGTGTACAGGTGTCAGACGACACAAACCCCATCTTGAACATCCGATGACCTGTATAGTGTACTCTGTGTAGAATTTTGTACTGAATTAATTGTAAATTGGGGTGTCTGATCATTTTAAAAGTTTTTAAACAAGTTTGGGACCAGAAGTCCTGGTCAAAGCTAACTGATAGATCCACCTCCCATTTTTCAATAGGGATTGCAATTTTATCGTCTATTTTGGACAGTGTCTTATACACTTTAGACAGTAGTTTGGGGGGGTTTGAGATTATAAAAGTCTAATACCCTTGGTGGTGTTTGTAATTCTATTTTATTGAGCTTAAATTTTTGTTTGACTACAGATTTAATTTGGTGATATTCTAAAAAGCTATTCTTATCCATTCCAAATTGGGAGACTATTTGATTAAATGGAATGAAGTCCAATCCTTCATATATGTGTTCCAGGTATAGGATTCCTTTATTTTTCCAGTCCGGAAGGTTCATCATTTTGTTGTTTTGCAAAATATCAGGATTATTCCAGATAGGTGTGCGTCTGCATGGTACTAGTGAAGACTGTCATTTTAAGATACTCCCACCATGCCGTCAGAGAAGTGCTGATATTAATACTTTTGAAGTTTTCATGTTTTCTTATGCTTGAGCTAATAAATGGTAAGTCTGAAAGCTCTATCGTATTGCAAAGTGTCTGTTCTATATCTAACCAGGACTCATCTAGTGGGTTATCTTGCAACCATCTTGGTATATATTGCAGCCTGTTGGCTAAGAAATAATAATAAAAGTTGGGTAAATCCAGTCCTCCTCTGTCTTTGGTCTTCTGAAGCGTTTTTAAGCTAATTCGTGGAGGTTTATCCTGCCAAAGGAATTTAGTAATTGAGGAGTCCAGAGATTTAAACCAGACAGCTGGAGGTTTGTTTGGGATCATCGAGAATAAGTAATTTATTCTGGGTAAGACCATCATTTTAAATGTAGCAACTCTCCCCTGAAGATTTTTTCCTGAAACCTGATGCTTTTTTTTCCTATGGTCTGAAGTCTGACACCTGAGACCTGAGGGTGCCCTAAAATGTACGCAGAACCACAGCTGCTCTGAGGCACACCAACAGAGGTGAGGCTGCAAAGCTCTGGCGCCACCAGTCCCTCGGATCACCACCAGCAGGCAAGGTGGGTCTTGCACAAGGACACAACAGCAGCATTCTCTGGCTGAGATTGAACCTGCAACCTTCCATTTCCGGGACAACCCGCTCTACCTCCAGGTGAACTGCCAGTACTCTAGACTTTTAATGCTACATGTTTTACATCCTAACAATAAAAACATATTGTTCATACGATGTTTCTATTTTTGTACAATATAACGTCACTAGCTGCCCAGGGCTTAGACCAGAAGTTAGTTTCTGTTTTTCCCGCGCCGGTCACAAACATCAGATTTTCTTACAATTCCAGTCGTCAAAATCCAAAAACCTTTTTCATCTGAGGTTTTAATACACATTTACACATGCTCTTCAAACGAATTTTGCCTCTGGCCGATATCTTTAAATGAGTGATTGAACCCACTACCAAGGATGAACTCTGCTAACTTTAAAAATCAGCTGCTCTAAATAAGCATGAAAGTCAGAGAGGAGCTCTAGGATGGACATGGATAAAGGAACTGTAATGTAGAGGTAAAGTAGGGCAGGGCCAACGTTAGCAGCTGTCATACGGTCCATCTGAAATGTTTGACTTTCATTTAGCTTGTTATGTGACAGGTTAGAGCACAGTCTCATGTTAGAGTTTTGTCATGAGAACATTGAGATACCTCACATGCTGATGGCATGTAGAAATAAACTTTTTTTTTTCAAAATAAAGAATAATTTTAATCACAATTGAAACGTACAATCCTAGAAAAACCTCGTCCAATCAATGTGCACGTCCTGTTCTCACTGACTGGATAGAAATCCTTCCATCAAACTGTGTGTGTGTCCGCGTGTGTGCGTGACACGAGCGTGTTGTGAACTGGTGTTGTGGTTTTGCACTGATGTAACCATCCTTACGCTGACAAAAATGTAACTAAGTAACTTTTACTTTGAGAACATTTTATTTACGATTCTTTTTACTTTTACTTGAGTAAAAATTCAGGCAAGTACTTTTACTTGTACTTGAGTAAAAAATGATCAAAGTACTGGTACTCATACTTAAGTAGGAAATTTTAGTACTCTTTCCACCTCTGAATATAAATGTCACATTCTTTCTAATATCTGTATTGTAAAAACTTGATAATAAATTCTATAAACGTGAAAAGTATATGGTACAAACTTGATAATATATAGTACATACGTGATGGGACAAACATGAAAATTGTCACCAGACGGGCACCGCACTTTCCCACTCCCAACCAGAAGCTGGCAGTATAACATCAATCCGCATTCAAAATCTGAGAGGTAGAAGACTGCATCACTGACGCGTGCGTCAGAGCGTGATATCCCTCCGCGTAGAGAAGCGCGCGGTCCTTTCCCTCGCGATGCGGTGAAACTCTGAGACCTTCCTGCGCGCGACACTGCCGTTAACATTTCCCGCTCCATCCGTGAGAAACCATTGAGCGAGCACCAGGGGAATATCCACATCTTCTAGCACACACCGAACCCGCCCTGTAGCTCGTACTCACTGAGCTCCGTGGAGGCAATCCAACCCGCTGAGGGCGCCGAACCTGTTCGAGTGAAGCAAGCGGCAGCCGGGACACGGAATGGAGCTCATCACTATTCTGGAAAAGACAGTCTCTCCAGGTGAGTACTGGGGGTGTATGCGCACCTCAGCCAGGGTGTGATGGTGAATTTTCAGAGTAGTTGTGTTGAGTTGCAATGAGAAGCGTGAGAAAAGTTTACGGCAGGGCGGAGGAAGAAGCTAACCGAGCTAACGCTCGGGCCTGACACGGACAGTGACTTCGCACTCTGCCGGTAGTTTTATTGCAGTTTAGGGTAAAAGTAGTCATCATGCCTACTCTGACCGTTTCCATACGTTTTGTCTTAACAAGTCGTTAAAATTGGGCCCCGTGGCGGCTGATAGGGTCGCTACAGGAAGCTGAACCGAAGACCGACCCTGCCCAGGGCTGGTGGAGCCGCTCCATTAGCTTGTTAGTGGGTGTCATTCTAAGTCTCGACCATTTCCTTTACGGTTCAGATTAGCAACTAATAGAAGTGGTCGTTTGGTTGTGGTCTTCGATTAGTGTCTTTATCTACAGTTATTACTGTTTTCAGGCAGTTAGCGCCACTTGGTGTTCCAGAAACGTGTTCCACAGTGGGGCTAATATTAGCTGCTAACGCGCATGTGCCAGCCTCGGCAGGGCGGTTAGCAGCGTGCAAATGTGACTGCGTGGAATCAATGTCACTCATTTAGGTAGCTATTAACGATGTTTGGAGTGGATCGGACATTAAACCGGGTCAGGGCTCATTGTGTGCCCGCCTACTGGAGTAACACTTCTTTCTCTTCTCAGATCGGAATGAACTGGAGGCGGCGCAGAAGTTTCTGGAGCAGGCGGCGATAGAGAACCTGGTTAGTAGTAGACCCCTAACGGAGGAGGCAGAGGCCGGCAGGGCTGCTGCTGCAGGCCAGAGGAGAGGGGCTTCGGACAGCTGCAGAGTCGCTGGCTTCTCCTCCCTTCTTTTCCCAACACAAAATAAACACACACACACAGGGACGAACACACTCGGCCTGTAAGCGCCACCCTCCAAATCAACTAAACCCAAGATAAACGGAAGTACATTCACCTCGTTTACCAGCTGACTACAGCTGAGTTATTTTTCTATGTGTCAGTTTAAGGTCCCTTTTTAAAGATTTTAATTTCTAACTGGGTTCTTGCTGAAATCAGGTTCTTGACCTTACTCCAGATCCAAATTGTTCAGTAATCATGCAGGATTAGTGATGGTAACTGACTTGGAAAGATGAATTATTTTCTGCCAAGAGTCCCGTTGCTGTGAACGTTTTACAGTAATTTTCAGCACTTGAGGAAATAAATACAGAACAATTTCTCTGTTGGTGTTTGTAGGCTTTGCTGCAGCAGACCCAATATTTCTGAACATTTACTTGTATTTATGTGTTTCCCTGCATTTTTAAAAAGCTGGTGGTAACAACTCACTGCAGTGCATTCACTAAGCACCATCAGGTGGGGGAGAGACTGAGCTTGTCCTTCTGCTGCTTTAACATCCCGTCAGTAAAATAAATTATAAGAGTAGCTTTTAGGATCAGTTTTGAAAGCCTCATGAGCCCTTGTTGCAGAAGGCAGGACATTGACGACTACCTTGGATTCACACTCACTTTGCACCGCTGGCACAAACAACGTTTTTAGCAGTTTTCCTTTTTTTTATTTGAGATCTGATTTCAGCCTTTCCATATGTGTCAATAAAACATGTTTTTTACTTTAGAAACTTGAGCGTTGTTTTGCTGTGTCACATATTTAGGGCTTACTGTCCACACTGGTTCCCAAAGGGCTCAGGAACGAATGAGGTAAAATAAAAGAAGTCAAATTAAACAGAGGGGATGAAAAGAAGTGAATGGCATCATTGTTATTTTTATTGTCTTGCTTTTGAAGTTTCTGTTTTAACGTGGATGGTATCTCAGCCAGAGGTTTAGGGGTTAGTATTTGAATTATTTAGGAAACACTGGATTAACAGTGTTTCAAGGTCTCTGACTTGACTTGAGGTAGGATGATCTATAGAAACAATCCTGAAGGTGAAATGATGTAGTGAAAACAGTTTGTTCGGTGAAGTTTGTTAGGTGTTTATAGATGGAGAGGATGAAAGTTTACATGACAACCAGGAGCCTTTTGTTCAAAGAAGCTCAGAGCTGTGACTTTATTGCTGCCTTTGTTTCTGCTTTTCAGTTGGACCTCACTTTATGTATAAAGTTGTTTTTTACAGGAGGCGATTTGTATATTTGTTATTGACGAATATTTTATACGCTATGCACGGAGAACATCGCAGAGGTAACAATTAAGAACAGGTCTCCATCAGTGCATCTGAGCCTTTTCTCACCCCCTCCGCCTCTGGTTGCTGACGTTGCACGCACAAGCACCACGCTGAGGAGGGGTTTGGAGAGCGTCTGTGATGCACTCGACATCGTGCACTACAGCGCGGCGTTGAGTGTAAAGTGGAAACCCTTCTGTCTTTCAGACTCTGGAAGACTTCTGGTTATTTCATTTGGAGAATGTTTCCTGATTTAAAACTCTGGCTGAAGTAGCGCTCACCCTTATTCAGCACTTGCTTTGAGTGTGTCAGCAGAGCACGGATCCATCCAGAACATTATTTAAACAGCCATGAGTCTGTCTGAGGCAAAAGTCTAGAAGCTCATAACCTCTTCAGCAAGCTCCCTAGAGACATTTGATTACACACAAGCTGCAGGTGACCAGTTCAGGTCTACGCGGAGCAGAAGGAACCTCCTCCTTGAACCGTCACCTTATCGTGGTGGAGGAGTTTGAGTGCCCTAATGATCCTAGGAGCTAGGTTGTCTTGGGCACTTTGTGCCCCTGGTAGGGTCTCCCATGACAAATTGGTCTTAGGTGAAGGGTGAAAGAACGGTTCAGAGGATCTTTCATGGATGTACAATCAAAGAGTTGGAGTACCCGGCCCCGGGGGTTACCAGGGTCCCACCCTGGAGCCAGGCTTGGGGTTGGGGCTCGTGGGCGAGCACCTGGTGGGCGGGCTTTTGCCCATGGGGCCCGGCCTGAACCGGATACATGGGCTCATCCAACTGTGGACCCACCACCCGCAGGAGGAACATGAAGGGTCCGGTGCAGTGTGGACTGGGTGGCAGACCGAGGCGGGAGCCTTGGCAGTCCGATTCCCGGACAAGGAAACTGGTTTATGGGACATGGAACGTCACCTCACTGGTTGGGAAGGAGCAGGAGCTTGTGGCAGAGGTTGAGCGGTACCGGCTAGATATAGTCGGACTCACCTCAACACATAGCATTGGCTCTGGAACCCAAGTCCTTGAGAGGGGTTGGGCACTCTCCTTTGCTGGAGTTACTCCGGGTGAGAGGCGGAGGGCTGGGGTTGGCTTTTTGTTTGCCCCAAGACTCTCTGCCAGTGTGTTGGGGTTTACCCTGGGGGACGAGAGGGTAGCTTCCCTGCCTTCGGGTCGGGGAACGGGTCCTGACTGTTGTTTGTGCTTATGGGCCAAATATCAGTTCAGAGTACCCACCCTTTTTGGAGTCCCTGGGACGAGTGCTAGATAGTGCTCCATCAGGGGACTCCATTGTCCTGCTGGGGGACTTCAATGCTCACATGGGTGATGACAGCATGACCTGGAGGGGTGTGATTGGGAGGAACAGCCCGCCTGATCTGACCTCGAGTGGTGTTTCGTTATTGGACTTCTGTGAGAGCCGCAGTTTGGCCATAACGAACACCATGTTCGAACATAAGGATGCCCACCGGTACACTTGGTACCAGGGCAGCCTAGGTCGCAGGTCGATGATAGACTTTGTAGTCGTATCATCTGACCTGCGGCCGTATGTTTTGGACACCCGAGTGAAGAGAGGAGCGGAGCTGTCAACTGATCACCACCTGGTGGTGAGTTGGATCAGATGGCAGGGGAAGATGCCGCGTAGACCTGGCAGACCCATACTCAATAGTGAGGGTCTGCTGGGAACGCCTGGCAGAAGAACCTGTCAAGACGGTCTTCAACTCCCACCTCCGGCAGAGCTTTGACCGCGTCCCGAGTCCAGTGGGGGACATTGACTCCGAGTGGGCCTTGTTCCACTCTGCGATTGTTGAGGAGGCTGTTGCTAGCTGTGGTCGCAAGGTGGCCGGTGCCAGTCGTGGTGGCAACCCCCGTACCCGCTGGTGGACACCAGAGGTTCGGGGAGCCGTCAGGCTGAAGGAGGCCTTGCAATGTGAAACGCTTGGTTTCAGATTTTGTAAGAAAAATAAAATTTCCCCCCAAAATGCGACTTATAGTCCAGTGCGACTTTTATGTTTTTTTTTTCTTCTTCATTAGACATTTTATGGCTGGTGTGACTTATACTCCAGAAAATACGGTATTCATTATTTTAAAAATGAAAGTGACGGGGATAAATGGATCATGTGACCTCTGGCAGCAAGCAAATGCTGCCACCTCAGAGTGTGTCCAAACGCAGCAGCGATTCATTCCATCCCCATAGAAATAATCCCAAAAGTTTTTGTTCAGAAAGAAACATTTTGCTTAAATAAAATATAACAGTGGGCACCACAGGGAAACAAAGATGAGGCTTCTTTTTAACATTATAACCGTGTTTAATACGAGCCGTTTATAAGTCACTCTACCAAACTACAAATACAAAATTAAACAAAAAGGAAAATATAAATTTCTCCTCCGGCAAACATGTGTGCTGCTCTTGTATATAAAAAAAATAATCTTATGTTTTGGGCTTATGTGTTCGCAAATCAGTCTGTGCGTCATGACGTCACATGCACGAATAAATCGTCTTTTTTTTTTGGACTCACGATTGGCGGTGGGAAAAATTATACAACTCTGGGAGGGAGGGAGAGAAAATCAGACTGTCTTTTATTTTTAAATTTCCCTATTGCCTTATACTGCTCTTGTCTGGTTTCCTGTCTGGTCTGGACTGCCGAGCTCAATGTGTTCTGTAAGTGTAGCGTGGGGAAGAAAGAAAATTCACAAAAAACAACCAAACAATGCACCTGTGGTGTAAAATCAGAGTGGTTTGGTTTTTAATTCAGGTTCCCATTAAAACATTGTTTTGATCTCAGTGAGATGCTCGTCTGGCTGCAGCTGTTAGATCAGACCGTGAGCTGTTATATGATCTGTGGGTGTGGAACAATTGCAGGTGATGGAGACAGGTTTTACAACCCTGCAGGTGCAGAAAAGGAAAGGTAGAGGCTGGCGTTTGTCATTGAGCATGATGAGATATTGAATTTTTTGGTGGTGCTTAAATAGGTATCTACTGGGTGAGAACTAAACCCTAACTTTAGCTAAAACCATCCAAAGAGCTGAACTGTTTTTCCCCCCAAAACTTTACAGAAATGTTCCGAATCCCCACTGAAAACAATTCGCGGATGGATTGAGCCAAATGCACACATTAGACAGCTGATACCTTCAGAGTTCTCACTATGTTCTCCTTTCTTTTTCCCCCAGCCCACATTCCTGGTGGAGTTGTCCAAAGTGTTGGCGAATCCAGGAAACACTCAGGTGGCTCGAGTAGCTGCAGGTCTGCAAGTGAAGAACTCTCTGACCTCCAAAGACCCTGATGTCAAGACGCAGTACCAGCAGCGATGGCTGGGCATCGACACAAACGCTCGCCGCGAGATCAAGAACTTTGTAAGCAATGTTTTCTCATGTTAAGGATTCCAGGGACCATTATGAACTTCATCAGAAGTGCACACGCTAACCACGCCAGTCTCACGCTAGTTAGAAACCTGACACCGTAACACTTGTTATAGCTTTGGTACAGCTGTAATTTCTCAGGGTTTCCCTCAGTGCTTTATAAGCCAGGCTTTGCTTGGCCACCCGCCAGGCTAAGTGTCATGCCCCGCCCCCCTCCCCGACCCTGCCGTGTCCACTGACACAAACAGTGCAACAAAACTAGAGCCCTCCATCAGCTGATACTGGTGAGAAAAAGCAGTGGTACCCCCCCCCCGACGGCCAAAGCCGCCGGGCTTAACTCATTTTCTGTGGGAAACCCAGATTTCTGTGATCTGGTCTGGTTGCAAAGAAAGCAAAAAATCTTGTTTTATAAAACTGTATAGAACCAAACATAGACACTGAAATTCATGACTACAGTTATGCCCATGTCTGTATGTTTAGTATTTTATTTTATGGTGCTGTGCTACTGACCAGATGGGGTGAAGTCAGGTGACTACACCTCATCCTGTCTGTAGCAAGGGAAAGGTTAGCTTTAGTTAGTTGCACTGCATAAACTTGAGCAGCATAAGCATACGGGGGACTAAGTCCTCACTGTTCCTCTGTGCCAGGTCCATCTTTAGTTCATTAACATTTATTAACATTACCCATCCGTGCTTGGTAGGTTCTGCAGACTTTGGGGACAGAGACATATCGGCCAAGCTCTGCTTCACAGTGCGTCGCTGGCATCGCCTGTGCAGAAATCCCAGTAAACTTTTGGCCTGAGCTGATTCCACAATTGGTTGCCAATGTCACCGATCCATCAAGCACCGAACACATGAAGGAGTCCACGCTGGAGGCCATTGGGTACATCTGCCAGGACATTGTGAGTGAACACAAACACAAAGCCACACAACATCCAGATTCAGGTGATCAGCATTTTAATAACTAGTATTAAAGGTGAATACACCAATATTTGCACAAGAATAATTTTTGTTTTAAACTCTCAGTGACACACTTTGCAGGGGGTGCGCAATTAATTTTTCTTGGCGTCTGGAAAAACATCTCCTTTTGTCCCCTTTATGTGACTTTCTGCCCCTTTTATTTTGGTCCAAGATAATTACTGGGCTGGCCCTGTTAAACACCTACACCCCTGCTTAAGCTTGGTTTATGCTTGACACATTCACTTTCCGCTTGGTGATGCGGCTCGCGGCTGGAACGTGCTTCACAACTTGCAGCGTTTATGGTTCATGCGGCTCGTCTGCGGTGCGCCAATGCTCTCCCAAACTGTAGGGGGCAGCATGGAGCTCTACGGCATGCATCCAACACTACACCGTAGTAGAAGTAGAAATTACTGTTTACAATATGGCATTCCAGCATTTTTAACAGCGTTCTCGTCTTTTCCGACAGTGCGAGCTATTTCTCTCCAAGAATTATTAACAACATGTTGATCACGGTGATCTCTGAGAGCTGAATCACCGTCCGCGTGGTTAGAAAATTTCCTAGGTGCGCGTTGCGGAAATTTTGGGCCGTGCGGAGGCGCGGTGGAGGGGCGTGGTTGTTAAAATGACACAACTTTTCCACGCGGAGCCATGCGGACCTCGCGGACGCGTCAAGCATGAACCAACCTTTAGTAGACTTAATGAAGTATTTTTAAGCTAGTATAAATAGAATAGAATAGAATATCCTTTATTGTCACTGTACACACTCGTACAACGAAATTTGGAAGCCACTCCCGGGTGCAAGTTGAAAGAGCTACATAACACTTAACAATTAAAATTCAGTCAGGACAAATACTTCCCTGTAACAAATACATAACACTACAATAATTAAAATTCAGTCCGGACAAATCCTTCCTTCATAAATTGTACAAAATTAGAACCATGCAGCTTGTGTGGTTCCATCAGGGCTGCACCTGCAAACATTAGATAAAATAAGAACATGTCCTTTCAAATTAGCATGTTCTTTTTGTTGTTAACCGCCATGATATCCCTGGGAAATAAACTCTCTGAAGCGGTTTGTCCTGGTCCTCTGGGGTCTGTACCGACGACCCGATGGCAACAGCTGAAACAAGTGGTTCCCAGGATGGAACTTGTCCTTAATGATGTTGGAAGCCCTGCTGAGATAACCGGGGTATGCTAAGTCCTCCAGGCTGGGCAGCGAGCAGCCAATGATCCTCTGGGCTGAATGTATAACCCTCTGAAGCACTCACCTGTCTGCAGCAGTGCACCCTGCATACCAAATAGTTATCCTGTATGCTAGGATGCTCTCAATAGTGGCTCTGTAGAATGTCACCAGCAGTCTCTCCTCAAGGTTGTTCCTCCTGAGTACCCTCAGAAAGTGGAGACGCTGCTGAGCCTTTTTTGATACTGCCGTGGTGTTAGCAGACCAGGAGAGGTCAACAGAGACCACGACACCCAGAAACCTCATGGAGTGAACTCTTTCCACACAGTCCCCCTGGATGTAGAGAGGTTCTGGATCAGCTTTGTTCCTTCTGAAATCCAAGATGAGTTCTTTGGTTTTTTTGGTGTTCAAAAGGAGGTTATTTACTGAACACCAGGTAGTCAGTCTGTTGACTTCATCTCTGTAGTTTGACTCATCCCCTCCAGAGATGAGCCCAACCACGGTGGTGTCGTCCGCAAACTTTATGAAGGTGTTGGAGAGATGGATCGGAACACAGTCCCATGTATAAAGTGTGAACAGGAGTGGACTCACTACACATCCCTGAGGAGAACCAGCACTGAGGGTGATGTTGCTGGACTGATGAGGGCCTAGTCTTACAGACTGCGGTCTGTTTGTGAGAAAATCCTTGATCCATCCGCAGATACAGTTGGAAAATCCCAAATGAGCCAATTTCTGGACCAGGATCTCCAGAATGATGTGGTTAAATGCTGAGCTGAAATCTAAGAAAAGCATTCTCACAAAGCTTCCCTGGTGCTCCAAATGATCCAGCGCAGTGTGAAGTGCTATGTTGATAGCATCGTCTGCAGATCGATTAGCCCTGTAGGCGAACTGATGTGTATCTAGGGTAGGTGGCAAACTACCCCTGATGTGCTGGCAGACCAGTTTTTCAAAGCACTTCATCACAATTGGAGTGAGTGCGATCGGCCTGTAGTCGTTCAGAGTGTCTGCTGCTGTCGTCTTAGCAATGGGAATTATAGTGGCGGTTTTGAGGCAGGGAGGAACGATGCATAGTGACAAGGACCACCTTACTAGTCATCCAGGGTTTTTGGTTTGGGAACAGTCTGATCCGTTTGTTTATGGTCACAGTTTCCACTCAGTCCTAATGTAGGAAAATACGGTATCGGTGTGCTCCTGTTAGGGCTGTAGCGAAGCCTCGACAACGTCGACGGCTCGATTCTAAAAATTTGTCGACGTCAGATCCGGAAGTCGACGCACCGCGCCCACTTGTTGCATCCCCAGGAGTTTGTAAATAGAGGAGGAATCTGCCTGTTTTTCCTCCTCTAGTTCGCCCTCTTCTCCGCCTTCACTTACATCTCCGCCAAATACCGAAGACCCGGAACATTGTCCATCCACCACTAGATTATTTTCCTGTTTTGCCCGCCTTCGTCTCCCGGCAACGGACGACAACTTCCGGGGTCAGATGCGCTGCTTCGTCTCTACCGCAGATGTAGAAAATCACCGGGAGCGTTTCTCCCTTCATAAAGGAGCTTCTTTCAGACATTAGGAGAGCTGTTTTGGTGGTAGCAGTCTCTCCTCCGTGCTGGTCTGTTTGCTGCTGGGTGTTTTTGGTTTATTTAAACTTGGTAACTTGAACTTAACGTTGGTAAAGCTACTGTTAGCATTTTCGCTAACAGCTTTTTGCGTTTGGATAAGCTGTTACGTTGTGGTTTAAAGTTCATCTTTTTTGTGGTGTAGATCTCTCTTTTATTACATTTAGAGTGTTGTGGGTTTTCGGTTTAGTGTAAAATATCACCTTGAGTTTGGTTTAACCACCCAGTTCAGAGTTTGGACCTTTGGAGATCCTTATTTTGGTCCAGAACCCAGTAATCTTTGCCCAGTGGGACATCCCTAGTTATTTGTACTTTGTTTTAATTCCCCACAGGCAGAATTAGGCCCGAGCAGCGAAAGCGCTGCGAAGGCCTCTTGTTTTTGCTCTGTTTATTCTTTCTTTTTTTTATTTATTATTCTTAGCCCGCTTTGAATGGCTTTTTGGGGACCTTACCATACCCCAAAACTCACAATATTTTGCAGACATGTCAGGCCTGGTGAAAATTTTGATATTTTAAAGGTCCCAAAAAAATCGCAAAGAAAATGGCTGAACAGCGCCCCCTAGAAAGTAAAAAAAAAAACCTCTCCATAAAGCTTAGTTTATCATACAGTTATGAAATTTGGTACACTTGTAGTACTCAACAGTCCGCACAGAAAAGTCTCTTGCAAGCATGGTCGATATCAAACAGGAAGTCGGCCATTTTGGGTTGAAATGGCGATTTTTGGCCGTTTTTAGGGTCCGTTTATGATTGGATTGCTCGATCATTTTTCGCACGATTGTCTTAAAAATTGTGTAAAATTGCTAAGAAGGGATGGGCGAACAAAATGAGACAAGGATTCTGAGTTTTCGTATATGTTGAAGGGGCGGGGCCAGGCCTCGAAGTTTGACTTCTCGCCAAAATTTTTTTAATTACTATAACTTCATAGCTGAATGGAATAGAGTGACCAAACTTTCTGTGGTTATTCGTCATCCACCCACAAAGTAAATTGAATGGTCGGATGATGACATCACACAAGCCCCGCCCCCTCAGGACCAAAAAGGTCAAGTTTTACTGTGAAAGGTCCCAAATTGCCCCATTTCACTTAATCACCACAAATTTGTAGCTGGTAACTCAAGACAAGTGAGGGTTGCTTGGCGTCACATTATGGGAGTTTTCGGCAGAGGGCGGGGCTGTGGCGGCGCGGCGAAGTCAGGCGTACCGCCGTGGCCTTACGTTTAACTCCCATTTCGTCATTTCTAAAGATATCGTCACAAAACTTCTTGTGAGTGATCCTAGTCCGGCCCCCCAAAGAATCTGATGTGAATATCCGGTGGGCGTGGCCTATTTTCTGAAATAGCGCCCCCTAGGACCATTAAAACTGTCAGCCCCAAGCCATGCTTTAACTGAGGATTACGAAATTTGGTACACTAATGTGGTGTCTCAGGACCTACAAAAAAGTCTCTTGGAGCCAGTGCAAAGTCGCACAGGAAGTCGGCCATTTTGGTCAAAGTACGCGATTTAGTGGTTTTCGCACACTTTGTTTGGAGAGTGGTGCTCCGTCGCCCTTTTCACCAATCTCCTTCAAAGTTCTGCTATATACTCTTAAGACATAGGGGGAAAAATTCAACTGTCGGATTTTTCAAAAGTTGAAAGGTGTGGGCGTGGCTAAGCCTCAAACTTTGACCTGTCGCCACACCACTCTTTTTTTCACAGCTTCCTTCTGGACTCCTTTTACCTAATCAGCAGGAATCTCTGGCAAATAGCAGTAGACAACTTGAGGTCACTTGGTTTCCAGTACTGGCAGGTTTCGAAAAAAGGCGGGGCTTTGGGAGCATGGCGAAAATTGCCATCACGCCATGGAAATACGTTTGCCTCTCATTTCTTCAATTATGGTGATATCACTACGAAACTGCTGGTGAGTGATCATATTCTGACCCCCAAGAGAAATAGACAGTTGAAGTTTGTGGGCGTGGCCTATTTTCTGAAATAGCGCCCCCTAGGACCATTTATCAAACAGCCCCAAGCCATGCTTTGACTGAGGATTACGAAATTTGGTACACTAATGTGGTGTCTCAGGACCTACAAAAAAGTCTCTTGGAGCCAAGTGCAAAGTCGCACAGGAAGTCGGCCATTTTGGTCCAAGTACGCGATTTAGTGGTTTTCGCACACGTTG